GTTCCAGAGAGGATGGTTCTAGACTATTCTCAGTGGTGGAAGAGGACAGGACAAGGAGTAATGGTCTCAAGTTGCAGTGGGGGAGGTTTAGGTTGGATATTAGGAAAAACTTTTTCACTAGGAGGGTGGTGAAACACTGGAATGCGTTGCCTAGGGAGGTGGTGGAATCTCCTTCCTTAGAAGTTTTTAAGGTCAGGCTTGACAAAGCCCTGGCTGGGATGATTTAATTGGGGATGGGTCCTGCTTTTGAGCAGGGGGTTGGACTAGATGACCTCCTGAGGTCCCTTCCAACCCTGATATTCTATGATTCTATATGGGGAGTATATATTTGCATAACCCCTTCCAGTGTTAGCTTTTTGGCTTTCTCGAGTACTAGGGCAGTAGCCGCGACTGCCCGTAAACATGCCAGCCAACCCTTTGCAACCTGATTCAGTTGTTTAGAAAAATAAGCCACGGAACGTTTTTAGGTCCCCAACAACTGGGTTAGGACTCCCAGGGCCACCCCTTTTTGTTTACGTATATACAATTGAAATGGCTTAGAGAGATCCGGCAGACCCAGGTCTGGAGCTTTCATTACCTTTTTTTTTTAAAGATTCTAAATGCCTTGTTGGCTTTTGGGGACCAGTGAAAGGGATCGTGATCCGTTCCCTTGACACAGTTATATAATGGTTTAGCCCATAGTTTAAACTCTGGGATCCAGATCCTGCAAAAGCCCTCCATACCCAGAAAAGCCCTGAGCCGTTTACGAGTGCTTGGGGTAGGGACTTGACATATAGCTTTCTTTTTTTGTTTGAAAGCTGGCGCTCCCCTTGCCGTTTGTGAAACCCTAGGTACCGTACTTTTGGGAGGACGATTTGAGCCTTACTCCGTGCAACCCAATATCCTTGGAGCCCAATATGGTTCAGGAGGCTTATGGTGGCTTCAAGGCAGGGAGAGAGGCCCACAGTGGCAAGTAACAAATTGTCTACATATTGCAGAAGGAGGGCCTTTCCCTTATTGTCCCACTTCTTTAGGTCCCTGGCCGAAGAGGGTGGGGGACTTTTTAAATCCCTGGGCCAACACTGTCCAGCAAAGTTGCTTTTTAACCCTTTTTTGGTCCTTCCACTTGAAGGAGAAGATTTCCTGAGAGGGGGTGTCAACTGGAATGGTAAAGAAAGCGTCTTTTAGATTGAGGACCAAAACATGGGTATACGGTCCCCCTGTAGAAGCCAGTAGTGTATACAGCTTCGGGACAAGGGGGTGCAGAGTTTTAACCCATTTATTTACCGCCCTTAGGTCCTGTACCAATTGATATGTGCCATTAGGCTTTTGTACGGGCAAAATGGGAGTGTTCCAGGCTGACTGGCATTTTTGCAGGATGCCGTACGTTAGGAACCGATTTATAGTCTTCTGCAGACCTTTTCTGGCTTTCCTTTTGATTGGATACTGCTTGATTTGCACTGGGCCCTTCCCTCGCATGAGCTGAACATTGACGGGGGTTTGGTGGGTGGCCTTTCCTGGGACCCCTGCTGCCCACACTAAGAGGTACACGTGGTCTTCCCACTGGCTTCATTTTGGGGCTTGTAGAGCTGAGGATTCAACTGCAAGGGACATGATTCATGCATTCTCGGGGGGTAAGGTAAGGGTTATTTCATCCTCAGTAAAATGCAGGGTGGCGCGTAGGCGACAGAGCAGATCCCGTCCCAGCAGAGGCGTTGGGCAGTCAGGGAGGTATACCAGCTTGTGAGAGAGAGTTCTGTTTCCCAAAGCGCATTTCGCTGGGGCATACACTGGGCACTTGGTGCCTCTGCCTGTGGCGCCCACCACGGTAAGGGAATCTGCCACAGGCAACTGAAGGGGTCGGTTCACGGCAGTCCATGCCGCTTTAGAGTCCACTAAAAAATCTATATTCGAGGTTTCCACCCGCATTTTTACTCGGGGTTCTGGGGGCAGGGCGGTGCGTCTCCCCTGACACCCCTATTTCTGCTCCCCTGCCGCCATCATGGGGGCACGCTCCCTTTCAGGACACTCATTTTTTCAGTGTTTCTTTTTCCGGCATAAGGCTCACTGGTTGCGACCCAGAAGTCTCTCCTGCGGGCCCGGACGTTCTCGTCCTCTGTTCCTTCCTCCCCGTCCACTCATAACATCCCGGGGTCTTCCCTTTGTGCCAGCCTGCACTGCTGCTACCAGTATTTTACATTGCCTTTTTTTTTTTTTTCTTTTTTAGACTGTAAGCTTGGTTTGCAGTTTTTAAAATCTGTGCCATAGTCAGGCCCATTGGGGTTTGCGTTAGTATTCTGCCAAATGGCATCCCGAATGCGCTGTAAAAGGGCAACCGGACTTCCCTTTGGTTCCTGTATTATTTTATACGGTTTTGCCCAATTGTTGTGTCGGACAGCCGAGTGTCGGAGTCCATGCAAAAGTAACTCCTTATAGGAGGTGAGATGGGTCATGAGTACGGGGTCATTTGGGTTTCACCTGGGATCTGCTAGGGGGACCGCGTCCTCGGCAATGGGGACATTATTTGGATCCCTTTTGTGTCTCTGCCATGCCTCCTCCCTTGCCTTAGCTGTAACTTGATCTTGCTCTACCTTAGACAACAAGGTTTTCAGGAGGGTATTAAAGTTGTCCCAATCCGGCTTGTGACTATTGAGGCACCCCTCGAAAACTGAAATAAACCAGCTTGGGTTCGTTGAGAATTCCCCAGCCTGTGTTTTAAAAGCTGCTACGTCTACTGGATTGAATGGCACATGGGTGTAAACTTGCATGGTGGTGGTCTGGCGTCCATCTGCCCCTGGGCGAGCCACAACGGTCTCGGTAATCAAAGGATAGAGTCCCACCGAGGGGGCAATCTCTGTAACCCAAGGCATTCTACCCTTATAAGGTGGGGGTGTTGTGGGGGCCGAAGGGGACACTGAATCTGCCATTACAACATTGGGGGGGGTTCTGGGGGCTAACATTAGCTACTACCGGTCCTGTTGGAGTCAAATTACATCTCTGTAGAACGTCTGTTCTATCTCTTAAAGCCATAAGCGCCTGCGCATACAGATGTTTATTCCATTTACCCATTTGCTGACAAAACAGAACTAATTGGAGGATCGTATTATAATTGACTGATCCTCCCGGTGGCCACCGTTCCTGGTCCTCTAGCCAAAATTGAGGACAGTCTACTGTACAAAACCTTTTTAATTTGCTTTTTGTTATTGGATTCGATCCAAACACTTTTCAGTTTGCTAGAATGCATTCTAGGGGCGTGCACTGTGCCCTGCCTGTAGTACTCTGTCCCTGTCCCATATTTCCGGACGACACTGGGCGTCCCCAGGTCTTAACAGAGAAAGTCCAGACCACTGGACTGTTCCTACCTTTTTCAAGGGACTGGTTTCCCACCATCGCCTGCAGTTGCTTCTCCACTATAGGGGCGCGTTGCACCGTTGTGCCCTCCGAGGTCGAGCAAATCGCGTCTCCTCTGAGGCCTCCCGATGAACTCACCGGTGCCCGCTGGGCGTCGGTTGTCGCCGCAGTCCGTCGACCACCAGGAGGGGTCCGGGCAAGGCTAAATAGCAGCCTCGAGCCCCACGTTGGGCTCCAAGAACTGTTGCCGGCACAGAGTGCCCGAGGCAAGCAACAGTTGGGTTCGTTGCCCGGTGTGCGTCGCACCAATGACCACAATGGGGTGGAGAAGCGGAGAGATTTATTTGAAGCTTTAGATAGGGCACAGGGAGACTGAACTGTTTCAAGTCCTGCAGCCCCGCATGCAGATTTCAGTATACATTTTATATCTTTGCCTAGTTTACTACACAAGCTTATGCAACCAATTACCTGTTGCCCCGTACAATACTGTAGCCAATTAGCTAAAGCAGCCAGTTGTGTTTTTCCTCAGTAGCGTTGCCCGAGCCTTGCCTTATTTGGTTCTATTTGTTACTGTTTTTTGCGAAACATTTCTGCCTTATTTATACGTTTTCCAGGCCGAAGCTGGCCTTGGCTAGCAAGCCATGTGCAAACCTGTCTGTTTGTGTGCTAGCTTCCTCGTGGTTTTGCAGGGTCACAGAAAGTTTAAGGAGCGGAGGGGCTTCAGTTTGCCTGGGCCTAGAGCAAGGGGGCTTCACTGACACTCGCGGTCTTCCACCCTCCCGAGTTACCTAGAGTAGTGCCCAGTGTCACCAACAACTGGGTGAGCATAGCCTTGCGTGGTGGCCCTATGTGCAGAGGAGGGTAGGATGTAGCCCTGGGGACGAGAGGTGAAGCGAGGGAAGGGTTCAACATGGGGAGGGATGGTTAGGGTCCGGGGGGGAGTAGAGGTAAACTGGGGGGTGCACTTGGCGAGGAGGAGGAGGGAAGATTACAGTCGGAGGGGTCCCATGTGGTGCGGCGTGGGCTAAAGCCTTGGCAGGGGGGCGGGGAGGGAGAGGCCAGTGTGGGGGGATATCCCATATTGGAGAAGGGCAAGGAGGGTTTGGGGCCAGGTTTAAGGTGAGTTCTTTGGGAGTAGGGCTGGAGGGACAAAGGCTAGGGGGTGCCCCTAAGTTGCAGGACTGGGGGGCACAATTTGGGGATTGCTCTGCTTTTTTGTTATGAAGGGTCTCACTCTCACTGACCATTATGCTAGGAACCTAACCATGGTCAAGGGGGAGCTTACTTCTTAGGCTGAGTTATGGAAGTCATGTAGGGGTTGCTGTTTATTCTGAATCAGTGACATACTTGTGCTTTACAAGGCACCAGATACCAAGCCCCTGCTCTGAAGATCTTGCAGGCTGACAGACAGATATAGAGACAACAGGACTGGCTTGCAAACTGAGAGGGAATTTGACTGTTATCAACATAACCTGTGCTTCAGTATTAGGGCGATAAGGGCTACAGCAGTGGTGCCCTAAACATTGTGTTTCTGAGGCACCATAAAGATGAAGTCCTCGTGTACTTCAACTGTGAGCTTTTCAGTGCAAAGACTTGTCTATAAACCACCTACCACCCTTTTGATGTGCTATAAATAATTTGCCTCCCTGGTGCCTGTCCTCTTTTTACAGATGAAGGAGGATCGCTTCCGGAAGCTGTTTGCAGCCTTTGGCACGCTGACTGATTGCAGCCTGAAATTCACCAAGGATGGCAAGTTCCGCAAGTTTGGATTTATCGGCTTTAAGTCCGAAGATGAAGCCAAAATGGCAATGAATCATTTCAACAAGAGTTTCATAGACATGGCCAGAATAACGGTGAGTTGGTCTTAAAATGAAATGTTTGTTTCTCTCTCTGGGAGAAGTTTGCCACTTGATATTATTTTACTCTTTAGGATGAACTAATTGTGTTTGTGTCTGTGCAGAGGAGGAGAGGAGATTCACTAAACCCAGCTGGCTATATATACTTCAGTGGTGGAGCCTTGTTTGTGGGGTGATTATCAGGCATTCCAGTGACTTGTGTTAGTAATTATCCCTGCTGCTGTTCATGGAGCCGGGTTTGAGTCCTAGTCTCTTGCTCCCCCACTGGCAAGGGCTAGGAGTACTGTGGAAGCTACACACTAAGGAAAGAGTCCTTTGCCCAGTGTCCAGCCTGAATAAGCATGCCATGTGCTGGGCAAATATGTGGGAGATAAAATTCTCCCCTTCCTCTGTCCCCACGAGCTGCAGAGCAGCTATGGAGCTGTTGGCCACTTGGGCCCAGTGGCTGGAATATGTTCTCAGGGTCCATACAGGGGTTAGGAACAGGAGGATCTGCCGTGTGGGTGCTGCAACGTGATCAATATGGCATTCCCCCAGCATCCTATTTCCATGCACTCAGTGGGACCATACCAGTTCTTCTGCGAAGGGAGCCACTGCAGAGGTAGGGCATGATCTGCAGCATTTGATCTTCAAGCAGAGGAAGGCAGGTGAAAATCTTCTTAGTTTTGGTCAGGTTGATGGTAAGAGGAGCAGTCAGATTCAGGTGTGCAATACAAATCGAATTGGTTGTTAGTCTGCTCTATCCTTTGCTCCAGCAGTGCTGTTCCAGTGCTAGGCTGATTTAAAGTCTCAGATCTCTGGGCTGAAGTTGTGTACATGCTTCTTAAAGTTATTTAAGAAATTTACATTTTCTCTTGTTCTACGGAGACAATGCACTGGATGACAGTGGAGAACAGAACAGTTTGTTTGAGTATGTCTGGAAATAATTAATATAATTACAGACTTCCCTCCACTGAAGGGCCATAAACAGATGGTTCTGAATGGGCCCTTAGCATGGTAGTTTCTAAGTCTTTCTGCTTTAAATGCAACTGAAATAATAAAACGTAGGACCTGTTATAAGGGGCCTCCTTGTTGGTGTCTCTTTTCAGGTAGAGTTCTGTAAATCATTCGGTGACCCATCGAAACCCAGAGCTTGGAGCAAATACTCCCAGAAGCCTTCTGCACCAGAGAAACCCACCGATAAGCCCAAAACAAGTTCAGCTCCCACAGAGACAAAGAAAGTAAGTCATACTCGCTTTCCTCAGGTATGCAACATGTGCATCAGTAACTTTGTCTGGGGAAGTGCACTCTGGTGGCTGCAGCAGGGGGTCTGGAATTCAGGGCTCCTGTGTCCTATTCCTGGTTTACCATTCGCTTGTGATCTTAGTGAGCACTTTCTGCCTTTTTCCCGATCTGTATAATGGGGTTCATGGCTATATCTTAGACAGGCTTTTCTGAACCGTGTATGTTTTCTTCTTTTAGGATAAAAAGAAGAAAAATACAACAGGAAACTTAAAAGAGGTGAGTTGAGAAGAGCAGTGTGTGAGAATTGTCCATTTGAGAAGGGTTTGATATAGAAAGTATGGGGTAGAAATTGCTGAGAACTCTCTGCATTGATTCTGTTCTCGGAGCCAAGACTTCTGGGTTCTATTCCCAACTTGAGCAAGTCACTTGACCTTTCTGTGTCTCCGTTTCCTCGTCTGTAAAATAGTGAACTTTGTAGGTTGTCTGTGTTGTGTGCTTAAAGTGCTTTGACATCCTCAGGTTAAAGGTGCTTCATAGAAGGGCAAAATACTTTATATCATTAAGAATTTCACTTGCTGCCTCAGAGTTACTGTCTGCACTTGTGTTTAATTGGTAGCATTTTAATTAGGAAGGAGTGCTTCTTCCAGAGCTGTTGATTCAGGTGAGACAGATGGTTTAACTATGTTGTATCCTATAATACTGGATGTAAATTCGTGAATGGAGCGTAATTGTCCACATCTTATGGAGGGGAAATCAGCCCTGGCAGTCGAAAAGCTGACGCCCTCTCCTGAGATCTTACCTGCGAGGAATTACACAGTGACCCTGATCTAAACTTGGCTACTTGCCCCTGTGTCTGTCTGCACTGCTCATGTGTGTGGTTTTTTCCAACAGCTGGAAGGAGATGAGGCATTCAGAGAATTTTTGGTGGTTCATCAAAAACGGACGCAAGTGGCCACATGGGCTAATGACACGTTGGTGGAGGAGCCCAAGACAGGGAAATCAAAGCCGGCAGATGACTATCTGAACTTCGATTCGAATGAGTCAGAGGAGCTCAGCGAAGAGGAGGAGTGCAGGAGCAAATGCCACGAGGAGCAAGAAAACACAGGCACCAAAAGTAAATTTCTCCCTCTGCTCTGTTCATCCTTCTCTTCAGTGGTGTACTGATGTGGGGCCTGATCCTGCGGTGTGCTGAGCAGCTCCTGGAAAATGCTGTGTGCCCTCACATCCCATTGGAAGTGGTGGGAATTGCAGTAGTTCAGCACCTCACAGGATCAAGCCCTATATCCCAAAAGAGGAGATACAAACTGTGCCGTAACTATGGTTTCAGTGTGGGTAACAAAGGCTGAGACCCTCAGTCCCTCTCCAGGGAGCCTGAACAATCTGAACTGCAGACTCCCTGGTTTGTCTGCCCAAGTGAATCTCTCCCATTCCCCATCCACCTGGGATTCTGCAGCCACTCTGTTCTCAACCCTTTAATTAACCCTCTTGCTATGTTCTCCCTAACATTCTTTCTGAAGGAGTGACATTTTTCCTGCTTTGTCTCAGACCCAAAGGCTTTTCAGAAAGTTTGGATAAGGCACTGAGCTGGAAGATGTAAGTTTCCATCTCTGGCTCTGCCAGTGACCTGCAGGGTGTCCTGGGACAAGTCACTTCCCTGTGCTTCATTTTCCCCTCCCCTTTGTCCATGTTGTCTATTTAAATTGTGAGCTCTTTGGGTCAGGGATTGTGCATGCATTCAGTACCTAACACAATATGGCTAGAATTTTGGTCAGAGCCTCTAGGTGCTACTGGAAATCATATAATTGACTGAACTGAACTCTTTTTAGGGGACATGTTTAAGTAACTATTACCGATTGCGGTGTCAGTAGAGAGGGTTTTGGAACAAACCTATACATTAAACAGTAATTAGTCACCAGAGTTCTGAAGAAACTCAAATATGAAATTGCAGAACTACTAACTGTGGTATGTAACCTATCACTTAAATCAGTCTCTGCCAGAGGACTGGAGGATATCTAATGTGATCCCTATTTTTAAAAAAAGCTCTCGAAGCAATCATGGCCATTATAGGCTGGTAAACCTAACTTTAGTACCAGGCAAATTGGTTGAAACTATAGTAAAGAACAGAATGATCAGACACATAGATGAACACATTGTGTTGGGGAAGAGTCAACACAGCTTTTGTACAGGGAAATCATGCCTCACCAATCTGTTAGAATTCTTTGAGGATGTCAACAAACATATGGACAAGGGTAATCCAGTGAGCTTGGACTTTTAGAAAGCCTTTGACAAGGTCTCTCACCAAAGGCTCTTAAGCAAAATAAGCAGTCCTAGGATAAGAGGGAAGGTCCTCTCATGGATCAGTAACTGGTTAAAAGATAGATAACAAAGTCTAGGAATAAATGCTCAGTTTTCACGGTGGAGAGATGTAGGTAGCAGGGTTTCCCAAGGATCTGTATTGAGATCAGTGCTGTTCAGCATATTCATAGATCTGGAAAAAAGGATAAACAGATGGCAAAATTTGTAGACAATACAAAATTACTCAAAATAGTTAAGGCAAAAGCTGACTGAGAACAGTTACAAAGTGACCTCACAAAACCGGGTGATTGGACAAGAAAATGGCAAATGAAATTAGATGTTGATAAATGCAAAATAATGCACATTGTAAAATATAATCCTAACTATATACACAAAATGATGAGGCCTAAATTAGCTGTTAACACTCAAGAAAGAGATCGCGGTGTCAAAAAGGCTAACAGAATGTTAGGAACCGTTAGGAAAAAGATTGATATTTTCTGTCTTCTTTTCTTAATGCCACTATATAAAGCCATGATATGCTCACACCTTGAATACTGTTTGCAATTCTGATCACCCCAACTCAAAAAAGATATATTAGAATTGGAAAAAAGTACAGAGAAGGGCAACAAAAATTATTTGGGGGTGTGGAACAGCTTCCATATGAGGCGAGATTAAAGACTGGGACTGTTCATCTTAGAAAAGAGACAGCTAAGGAGGGATATGATAGAGGTCTTCACAGACAAATGGAGTGGTGAAAGTGAATAAGGAAGAGTTATTTACCTCTTCACATAACACAAGAACTGGGGATCACCCAGTGATATTAATAGGCAGTGGGTTCAAAACAAACAAGGAAATACTTCTTCACACAACACAAAGTCAACCTGTGAAACTTGTTATTGGGATGTTGTGAAGGCCAAAAATAGAACTGGGTTCAAAAAAGAATTACTGTATATACTTGTTCATAAGCCAAATAGTTTTGGTAAAAAAGTGACGCATCAAAGAGCAGGGGTCGGCTTATAAACAGGTCTACACCAAAATTTGATGATTTTAAACCCTATGAAATAGTTGAATTGAATATCTAATGCATTGTCGTTTTGTTTACCTGGAGCATCTGCAGGCATGGAGCCCTCAGTTCCCTGTGGCTGTGGTTCGCTGCTCCCATTGGCTGGGAACGGCGAACCACGGCCACAGAGAGCTGAGGGGCTCCGTGCCTGTGAACGCTCCAGATAAACAAAACCTCCCGACCCGCCAGCGGCTTACACTGACGGGCTGGGAGCCAAAGTTTGCCAACCGCTGAAATATAGGGTTGGCTTATGAAAGGGTCATACAGTTTTTACTGGTTTCAGAGTAACAGCCGTGTTAGTCTGTATTCGCAAAAAGAAAAGGAGTACCTGTAGCACCTTAGAGACTAACCAATTTATTTGAGCATGAGCTTTCGTGAGCTACAGCTCACTTCATCAGATGTATACCGTGGAAACTGCAGCAGACTTTATATATACACAGAGAATATGAAACAATACCTCCTCCCACCCCACTGTCCTGCTGGTAATAGCTTATCTAAAGTGATCATCAGGTGGGCCATTTCCAGCACAAATCCAGGTTTTCTCACCCTCCACCCCCCCACACAAATTCACTCTCCTGCTGGTGCTAGCCCATCCAAAGTGACAACTCTTTACATAATCAAGTCGGGCTATTTCCTGCATAAATCCAGGTTTTCTCACATCCCCTCCACCCCCATACACACACAAACTCACTCTCCTGCTGGTAATAGCTCATCTAAACTGACCACTCTCCAAGTTTAAATCCAAGTTAAACCAGAACATCTGGGGGGGGGGGGGGGTAGGAAAAAACAAGAGGAAACAGGCTACCTTGCATAATGACTTAGCCACTCCCAGTCTCTATTTAAGCCTAAATTAATAGTATCCAATTTGCAAATGAATTCCAATTCAGCAGTTTCTCGCTGGAGTCTGGATTTGAAGTTTTTTTGTTTTAAGATAGCGACCTTCATGTCTGTGATTGCGTGACCAGAGAGATTGAAGTGTCCATGGCCATCATGTGCCAGCAATGCCCCTCTGCCATGTACATTGGTCAAACTGGACAGTCTCTACGTAAAAGAATAAATGGACACAAATCAGATGTCAAGAATTCTAACATTCATAAACCAGTCGGAGAACACTTCAATCTCTCTGGTCACGCAATCACAGACATGAAGGTCGCTATCTTAAAACAAAAAAACTTCAAATCCAGACTCCAGCGAGAAACTGCTGAATTGGAATTCATTTGCAAATTGGATACTATTAATTTAGGCTTAAATAGAGACTGGGAGTGGCTAAGTCATTATGCAAGGTAGCCTGTTTCCTCTTGTTTTTTCCTATCCCCCCCCCCCCCCCCCCCCCAGATGTTCTGGTTTAACTTGGATTTAAACTTGGAGAGTGGTCAGTTTAGATGAGCTATTACCAGCAGGAGAGTGAGTTTTTGTGTGTATGGGGGTGGGGGGGATGTGAGAGAACCTGGATCTATGCAGGAAATAGCCCGACTTGATTATGTAAAGAGTTGTCACTTTGGATGGGCTAGCACCAGCAGGAGAGTGAATTTGTGTGGAGGGTGAGAAAACCTGGATTTGTGCTGGAAATGGCCCACCTGATGATCACTTTAGATAAGCTATTACCAGCAGGACAGTGGGGTGGGAGGAGGTATTGTTTCATATTCTCTGTGTATATATAAAGTCTGCTGCAGTTTCCACGGTATACATCTGATGAAGTGAGCTGTAGCTCACGAAAGCTCATGCTCAAATAAATTGGTTAGTCTCTAAGGTGCTACAAGTACTCCTTTTCTTTTTACAGTTTTTACTATTTTTACCTATCCATCTTGGGGGGGTTGGCTTATAAACGAACGGACTGATGAACGAGTATATACAGTAGATAAGTTCTTGGAGGATAGGGCTATCGATGGCTATTAGCCAGGATGGTCAGGCATGCAGTCCCATTCCCTGAGGGTCTTTAAGCCTCTGACGGCCAGAACTGGACAACAGGGGATGGATTTCTCAGTTCTGTTCCCTCTGAAGCATCTGGCACTGGCCACTGTTGGAAGACAGGATACTTGGCTAGGTGGACCGGTCTGGCCGTTCTTATGCGCATTTTACAAATACCTGTGTCCCTTCTATTTTTTAAAGTTTTCTCTTTGAATCTTGGCAAACTCAGAGGTGGTTAACGTTTTAAATATCAAGAGAGGACAAGAATAATAACCCCTAGCTCTTATCTAATGCTTTTCATCAGGAGATCTCAAAGCACTTTACAAAGGAGGCTAATATTGTTAGCCCCATTTTACAGATGGGGAAACTGGAGAAATGTAAGTCTCCAGTGAATCAATGAACAAATGCACATATATCCTGGCTGTTTACCGTGCTTCAGATTTCAGCTGAGAGTCTCATACTTGTCTGCCTATTGGTCTCCATTTGTAAACCAAACCCCAAAGTCAGCTCCTCTATAGTTGTGCTCACGGCTAGTCCATGCAAAACCGCACTTGTATTACTGTAGTTATGGCTCCTTCCCTGCCATCCAATTCCACCTTTGTTCACCTGTCACACCTTGTCCTAAGCTAAGACGAAGTTTTCTGGAGCAGGGCCTGTATTATGCCTGTATAATGCCTAGCATGTCAGTGCCTTGGGTGCAGTTGTGATATGGATAACTAGTAATGAAGAACGCAATAACATGCAGAGCGTGGGTCTCCCGTGTAGTGTGTGTTTCCCTGTCCTTGTGTATTGCTGATCCAACTTTTTAAATAGCAGAGTGTTTTTAGTGCCAGAGAAAGGCCGACAGCCTGGAAAGCCAAAACCTTGTGTTGAGTCCTGTAGGGTGAGCGTTAGCAGAGTAGGATTCTCCCCGACAGTGACTTTGTATGGAAAACCCTCAATGGTAGGAGGGAGACATTCAGATCCATGGCCTGTTTAGTCCCATCTGCTGAGACAGTGTAATGCCAATAGCACTGGTGATTTTTGTGATGGGACCCCTCTCTGCTGGGAATCACCAGACCGTCTAATCAGTATCACCCAGCAGCCCATCAGATAGTAACAGCCTCTCATCCTTACCAGCCGTGGCTGGATTTGATCATCTGACCCGAGAAGAGGAAAGGGGATGGTACTGGGATGGAAAACCTGAGCCATCCTCTGGTACCTCCTGTGTGTAAAGGGTGTCTGCTCTTGCAGTAGCCCAGCTGGGCAAAAGGAATGTGGGGGCTCATGCTGCTATGGGCCATTTGCCCTGCTGGGGAAAAGGGGTGTGTGTGCATGTGCAATATCTGATGCCCATCTCTCTCCTCTCTGGCAGTAAAGAAGAGCCCCAGAGAAAAGGCAGCTGCCAGGCCAGAGCTCTCTGATATGGACTACCTGAAATCTAAAGTGGTGAAAGATTCCTCGTCTTCCTCATCCGAGGAGGAGAGTGAGGAGGACCAGCTGGACAGCGAGCAGTGTGAAGGGGGAAGCGAGGATGAGGAGAAGCCCAGCAGCTTGGAAACTATCGGTGCCCAGGTGCAAAAAGGGGCAGAGCTGGCAGGACATAGCAAAGGGCAGGGGACAGTGGTGGAGAGGAAGAAGACGAAAGGAGCAAAATTGGAGGTATAACCTAATTAGAGATGGGCCTGAATTGTAACTGTGGGTGCCGGCTCCCCTGCAGTTTGGCTCTGGATATGAACTTGGCAGCTGCAGTCCATCTCCGTTCCTACAGGGAGAGATTTCCAAATCTAAAGGTCTGTGTCCTCCTGTCCCTCCCATCACACTGGGTTTGCAATGAATAATCACTATATCTATTCTCAATAGATATATTTGTAAGAGAGGGAGGATGGCCCGGTGACTAGGGACTTGGGAGACATGGGTTCACGTGCCTTCTCTACATGGGATGCTGCCGGGAAACACAGGCATGAACGGGGACATCACAGGGAGAGGTGAGCAAGGTCCCTGTTCATTTGAGAAATCTCATAAAGGCAAGCACCAGAGTTGCAGCCATTCGAGATGCAGCAGACGCAAAGTTTTGGGCCTGCGCCTGATTTTAGGCAAACCCGGATATAACACAGGGCATGGACTGTTTGTGTTTTGGGTTCAGTTCCCTTTTGTGCCACCGACTTCCTGTGCAAACTTGGGCAAGTCACTTAGTGTGTCTGGCTCAGTTCCTCTGCTGTACAATGGGGATAATAGTTGCCTACCTCACGGGGGTATTATGAGGTGCTCTGACAGTACAGTGGTGGGGGCCATATAAATACCTAGGCTTTTGTTTTGTATGTCTCCTTGTTTAGCGTTTTGTTTCAGAGGGGCATTTTTCCATAGTGCTGTCTCAAAATCAGTCCCCTGGGTGGTCAAGTTGTGGGACACCACATGGAGAAATGTGAAAGCAGATTAAATTATTTGACCATTGAAGGGACTGTAACGGTACGTTCCCTTACTGTTACATCCTTAGACACACATTAGGCTGGGTCAGATACTCTGAAATCTTTGTGGATGTAGTTGGAGCCATCTTACCAGCTGCCCTTGTCTAGTATGCCTTGTTAGTCACAGGATGCCCAGGGCATTGTACTAGTAAATGGGAATATGTACAGGATTACTGCCCTTAGTACTGATTAATCCTGTGTTTTACTATCTCACCCAGGTTACACTGTAACTGACTAGATATACTAATCAAAACTTTGAAAAGTGACTAGAGATTTTGGGTGCCCAACTTGACAGACCTTGAAGAGGCCTAAATTTTAGAGGATGGGTGCTTGGTGCCCTCCAAAATTTGGAGCCCTTTAAGATGTCTCAGGTTGGCCCCGCGGAATCACCAGCTGTTTTATGAACACTGTGGCACCTATGACTTTCCCTGACTGTGGGGGCTCAGTCTCTACATACCTGAGCAAGGAACAGGCAGAAACTGGGAACTTGTTATACGCATGCAGGCTCAGCCCTTTGACCTTAAATAAGGCAGGAATCTCATGGAGTAACTGAGAGCTGCAGGCCAAACTAGGGCAGATGCTATATGTGGGATCTGTTAGACCCACTGGAGGGCTGAAACCTCGAGGCTCTCTAAGGCAGGGCTTGAATAACCTACTGGCCTGCCAACTAGCCACATCTTCTTGTCAGAAGCTGATATAAAAGATGGGGTGGAGATCCAGGGGTAACCCATTTATGTGAATCCCAGCCCTCCCATCTCCAAGCTTCTGGGATTCCCTGATTGCTGTCCAGGGGTAGAAGGGGTGTTTGTCTTTCATTTCCCATGTGTGCCCATCACTATAGTATTTCAGTGCCTAACTGAACCCTCTACCCCACCTCCGGCTGTTGGAAGGGCTGAAGCGCTGCCCCTCTCTGTTTCTGCCCTATCCAAGTCTCCTGACTCTGTATGTGAGGGGAGGGAGGGAGTCCTCTGTGTCTCAGTCCTTTCCACAGCCTCCTGCTTGCTGGTAAGACTAGCTCTGTGGTATCAGGCCTCTAACTCTCCCATCTTTCCTCTGTGCTGCCGGCCACGGTTGTCTCTTGGTCTGGAAACTGTTCCAGATTAAACCTCTTGCCAAGGATGATTTTTCAAATGTTGTTTCTCACTTTTTCCTCTGTCCAGCTGAAGAATGGGGCCAACCCTAATGCAGCTACCACGCCGTATACAGTGAAACTGCGTGGTGCCCCTTTCAGTGTTACTGAGGTATGTGCCCTGGTATAGCAGCCTTACTGCTCCCTCGTTTAGGGCTTAAATCGTGCTTGTAACAGGGAAGAGAACGATGGTCCTTGGATTCCCAAGGTCTAGCATTCAGCAGCCAGCAACTTAAACCATCATGTATTTTGCAGGGGCTTCTAGGTATCTGCAGGCTAATGGGTTAGTTATGAGAATGGAATCTGGCTTGGTATGTTCATACTGTAGAGGGTCCCTTGGACTCTGTCTGTCCCTGACTGTGTTTATGAAAGGTTTTTGTAGTGTCTACTCAGCATTCATAACCTTTACAAAAGTAGGCCTCCGAAATCTGCCCAACTTGCTAAAATTCTTGTTTTCCTCTTTTCTATTTGCAGCAAAACGTTCGAGAATTCTTCTTGCCCTTGAAGCCAGTGGCGATCAGGATTGCAAGAAACGTACATGGGAATAAGACAGGTGCTGGCTGCAAGGGTTTGTGCATTGTGGGTGCAGGAGATAGCAGAGATGTAGTTAGGAATGCTCTTTCCTGTGCCGGCCTTTGCTGTCTCCTGTACCTGTGATTCCAAATCACTACGAATTGCCTCATTTCTCATACATCAAGTTCCTTTGACTTGCTCCAATCGCCTTACCTTAGAATGGAGTTATGAGGCGTGACACTGTAAAAATGGTGCCCCTTGCCCTACAGCTCTGTTCCCTGTGTGCAATGAGCCACTTTGACTTGCTTTGCTGACCAGTGGGATTTACTGCTTTCTACAACTCCAAGCTCTGCAGAGTCAAATGGGAGATGGCTTCTGTTCTGGTTCATGCATCTTCTATAGAACTGTTAACCAAATTCCAGTTAGAGGTTCTTTACCTTGTGGTTCAGCTCTTAACCACACCTGGAACTGAGTTGGGTCATGGTTATTGGTGATGGTGCGTGGACCAGAGGGGACCCAAAATGAGTCCAGGGGTGGTAGTATATTTCCACAGTGCATTGTTTTCATAACCTTAGGGGGGTGCATCTTCTATCCCGTCATTAGTTCGAGGTATGTTAAAGTGTATGGAACCCATGGGGTGTAGCTGCCATATCAGTTTTAGACCATTTATGTGCACACAAGCAAGAACAAAAGTCATCTTAAACAATCATTTCTCTTTAATGAAAGAGCCCTTCCTGTCTGAAATCTGATAGTTGTTTTCAGCCCAGAGTCAATTTGTAATGGGAGATAAACACGTGTCTATGGAGATCTAATACAGAAAAAGCTGGCATCATTAGGTTGTGCTTAACTGGCTAGTTAGTGCCAGTGTGCGTGTACATACAAGCATCCGTATAACCCTTGTGATGCTCAGTTGAACCTGATTTCCTTCCAGGTTACGTCTTCGTTGATTTCAGTGGCGAGGAAGAAGTACAGAAAGCCTTGAAACAAAACAAGGAATACATGGGTAAGGGCAGCTTGTAGGTCCTCGTTACCGACCCTGATGGGTCTGTAGGTGTTGTGACGCTCTGCTGTAGGCCCTGTTTGCTGCTAAAGTGTCAAGTGGATTCTGGTCTGTCTCTTAATTTTGCTCTGGCAGGAAATGATGTTGATCATGGTCGCGGGCCAAAAACAAAGAGCAGCATGATCTACAACCCTGACTCTGCAAAAAAGAACAGGAGTACTTGTGGCACCTTAGAGACTAACAAATTTATTTGAGCATAAGCTTCCATTCTTATTCTTGGAATGGAATTCCATTCCATTCTTAGGGCATCCAATGAAGTGGGCTGTAGCCCACGAAAGCTTATGCTCAAATACATTTGTTAGTCTCTAAGGTGCCACAAGTATTCCTGTTCTTTTTTGCAGATACAGACTAACACAGCTGCTGCTCTGAACCCTGACTCTGTTACTCAAATTCATTAAAGAACCAAATGCTAAACTGTCGCAACCTAACCAAGTAGTATGGGGTTGGGAGAGCAGGGCGTGTCATAAATAAGCTGTTGGACTCTGGCCCAGGTTGGTATTGGCTGAAAGCTGTCGTCCTCTGCTGACTGGCTGGCCTCTGTGAACCAAGTTGGTGGATTTCAGTCCAGTAGCCACATCACAAAACCCACCCTCTCAGTTGGGAGTCTGAGCAGAGAGGTCAAAGGATTGGCAGAGTCTTGGGGAGTCTTCCCGTTCCTGCCCCAAAAGTCCCGCCATGGCAATGTGAATGAAGCTTGCTGTGCGGCAGCCTATGCTGTATCTGTATCTCTGGCTGTATGGCGAGCTCTGACCTGTCCGTGTAGCACCTTTCACCCGCACTAACCCTCCTGCAAGAAACCTTCTGGGGAGCAGTCCTGATCTTGGGATCTCTGCTGTATAGGCCAAATGCCACAAGCTTGCTCTCAAAGTCACTTCTCTGGTATCTTCAAAAACTTCAGTGCTCTATGATCAGAAGCAGTGGGCAAGAAATGAGGAATGCTGTCTCTCATACAAAATGACACTGAGATTGGTACCGTAGAAGCAGCTACAGTAGAACTGACTTTTAACATGCAGCTCTTTTGTAGCTTCTGGTGTTAGGCCAGAGCTCCATTATGCACTTGGGAGAAGTGTCTTGGTCTTTCCATTTGTCTTAAACCTAAAAACTATGATTTAAATGTGGCTGGGATGGCACAGTGGGTTAGTGCTGGAGCCCTGTGTTCAAATCCTGCTCTTATCCCAGTCCTCAATGAAAGCTGGTCCTATATTGCAAAACCATTATTGTGTGGAAGCAATAGGACTGGATTGGGGAGGGGTCGTGAGAACTGGAATGCGCTGCCCTGACTCTGTGAGGTGTCTCGCCAGTGGTGTTGCTCTCATTTTGATGAGCACCATGCTTTCCCCAAAACATCATTAACGTTCTTCTCACAGAGATGGGGTGGGCTGCATTCATGGGCGTGTGGGGGGTGGTATTCCACAGGAGGTCAGTGGAGTTTTGCCAGCTTACATTGTCAGTAAATTTGGCCCAGTGTCTTTAGAAATGACCATATATTTTAATTATCTAGGCTCAAGTCTGGTTGAGGCCTTTGGAAGTGCCTGAGATGTAAGGTTCCCCCTGTGTTGTGTGTGGCAGGTGGGCGCTACATTGAGGTGTTCCGAGAGGAGCGTGGGCTGAAGATGAAGCTCACCCGGAAGGGTGAAGACCAGCCCTGGCAAAGGAGGAAGAAGGACGATGAGGAAGAGGAGGACCTCTCTGAGTCAGGAAGGCTCTTTGTCAGGAATCTCCCTTACACTAGCACTGAGGAGGACTTGGAGCAAATATTTTCCAAATATGGTAGGGAATGGAGCTCCAATCAGCTTCCTGTTTCCCCCCAGAAATCTGAGGGTTAATCATCTTGCCTGGCTGTAAATGCTCATTTGGATGCCAGGGAAAGAGAAGGCTGTGGCACTCTCTTAGCCTGCAGATGCCCAGATACAAAGGGATGGGCACCATTTTAAAACTAAATCTTTACAACTGGAACCCATTTCAAAACTCATGGTCATGTTTGACCTCCTGGTTTGCAATCTCTGTATGGAGGCCAGCTATAGAGGAGGCCAACTTGGCTGAATTCCCTTCCACCTCCAGGACATCTCCTAGCTCAGGGCTGAGTAGGATTTATGGAGCCCCAGTGTGCCACTGGAAGAGAAAAGCCTGGGTGGTGAACTGCCTCCCCTTCTGGCCCCGGATAGATCTGGCTGGCTTGTTTCCCTGCAGAAAAATGACTTTCTGAAGGGGAAACAAAGGGAAGCCACAAGAGCTGTCATGCGACTTTTTCCAGCCATATGTTTTGGGTGCCCAGGGCAGCCGACAGAGAGGTAAATCACTGTGGGGCAGGAGGCGGGACTGGGGAAGACCCGGCTGGTGGCTCCAACCCTGCGCTGGGCTCCGCTGCTAGACTGGGCTGGGGAGGACAGGACTTCCTCTTCCCCTGCATGGCATCCGGGGCTGGGTCAGACCCACCCCCAGATTTCTCCCCTGGTTGCAGGAAGCTCTGCAAACTCTTCCCCCCCACCCCCACCCCTTCCTGCACCCATCACGCCTCAGCTGCAGGGGGGGAGGATCCCTGTACAGGGAGCTGCACCCGCATCTGCCCAACCCCTGTGCATCCAGACCCCTTCATACCCAGACCCTCCTGCTAAGCCTCACCACCCCTGAGCCCCACTCCCCCTGCACCCACACCCCTACCCCACTGAGCCCCAACCAGTTGCACCTGGATCCGCACCCCACTGAATCCTACTCCCCCAGCATCTGGACCCCCCACTGAGCCTCCCATACCCAGACCTCCCTGCCGAGCCCTATCCCCCCTACACCTAGAGCACCCTTCCCAAACACCTTCACCTGGACCCTCCAGCAGAGTCCCATTACCATTGCAACCAAAAAAACACAAGCAGCCCCTGTGTATCCAGGTCCCCCCCCCACACCCCCGCACTCGGATCCCCCACTGAGCCGCCTGTACCCAGATTGCCCCACACAGAACCATCTCAACCTACACCTGGATCCCCCCCTACTAAGTCCCTCCACACTTGGATCCTGCCTTGCTGAGCCTGCCTGCCCACACTTGGATCCTGCCTGCCTGCCTGGTGCGCCTCGCAAGGAGGGGCAGGGCCCTGGGGTGTTTCTGGGGCAGGTCTGGTCCTTGCACTATGTCGGTTGGGTGCAGCCTCGCTGCTGAGTCCGTGTCTTGGGAGAGTGGGGGTGGAGATGTACAGTGATCTCCCACCTCTGTGCAGCCGGTGGCCTGTGCTCCCCAATGCCATGCTGGAGCCTCCACATTTATTTGACAAATAATTTGCAGAATTTTAAAATATTGTGTGCAGAATTTTTAATTTTTGACACAGAATACCCTCAGGAGTAGGATGTGGGGGAAGTTGGTATTAGGGTTGGTATTACTGTACCAACTTGGTAAATAAAGGTTTCGGTATCCATGAGGACAACCCTTGAGTAGGCCCAGATTCTCTCCTTGCATGTGCTAAGCTGACCCAACGCTCATGGCTTCGTTCCATCAGCTGGGCTCCTACAGAAGACACCAGCTCAGAACCCTGCTCTGCAGTGCCTGAGAAGGGAGTATATGTCATGGAAAGGATTTGCCTTTTGCAGGTCCCCTGTCAGAGATCCATTTCCCCATAGACAGTCTGACCAAGAAACCCAAGGGATTTGCCTTCATCACCTACATGATCCCTGAGCATGCTGTGAAGGCCTTCGCAGAAGTGGATGGGCAGGTGTTTCAGGTACAGTGACTCTAACTCGCCTGCATGGTTAGGTTGAGGGGGAGGGGATGTTCGATCATAGGGATTATTGCCAGAAGGTCAAATGCTTATGGTGGTCCCACTGTGCACTGCTAATTGGGATGCCTGATGTCCTCAGTGCATTGAGGAATAGAGTGCTGTTAAGATGGGAAGTGCTAGGCCAGCGGTGTAGCAGCACCAGTTTGCGTGGGCCAGTGGGTTCAGAAAACTCCAGGCTGCTCTTAGCACGGTGCCATGCAGAGATCACCAGAGGGAAAGAGTTTGGAGTTTGTTGATCTTTCAAACTCCCTGTTGGGCTGCTCTGGTGAGTTGCTTTGATGCCAGCCTGGAGCAGCAGAGGAGAAGGAGGTCCTCTCAGATCAGGTTGAAAGGCCATTGTGGGAGGAAGTTGCATGGCAGTGCTGCACTGACGGTAGTTCATCTTACCTTGAGGCAGCGAGACTTTCTTTTGTGAATGTGGATTCAGAGGCATTAGGTCCTATACTCTCTGTCTCCTAGGGCAGGATGCTGCATGTGTTACCCTCCACCATAAAGAAAGAAGAAGGGGAGAACCTAGATGCTGAAGGATCCTCTTCCTACAAGAAGCAGAAGGAGTCCAAGGACAAAGCAAACAGTGCCAGGTACAGAGGGGGGCAGTGTCACACAGCAGGATCCTTTTGTTTTAATATGGCACTAACTGCAGAATTCCCCTTTGGGACCAGACTTGAAATGTGTGCGGTTTCTTTAGGGGGTGTATTAAGGAACAGGGCCAGTCAAATTACTGTTATGTTGCCCCTTCCTTGACTCTAATGTCCTGGCATCTTCTCTCTTTCTGTCCTCGGCTCATCCAAAAAACCGGGATCTTTTTTTGGCTCATCCAGGTTGCCTTACCAGATCAGTCCTTCTAATCCAGTATCCTAACTTCAGCAGTGGCAGGCTAAACAGAGCCCAGCCAATGCTCTGTAACTGTTTAGGAGTGAAGAATGTCCTATTCCACTGAAATGCAGCCTCTCTGTTTTCTCTCCCACTACTTACAACCCACTTGCTCCCCCATCCTCCTCTACCCTTCCTCCCATTCAGTTTGTGATCCTTGTTGGCCCGCTGAGTGTATCTTTTCTGTGTCGCTCTGAGGCAGATGCCAGTTGGAAGGTGTGAACGATCTTACGATTTAGGCCTCATTTTATTTTCTCTTCCTCCCCCTCTAGCTCTCACAACTGGAACGCACTGTTCATGGGCACGAACGCTGTGGCGGATGCAATCGCACAGAAGTACAATGCCACCAAGAGCCAAGTGCTTGATCATGTGAGTTGGATTCTAGCTGGGAAGCATCGTTTCAGTCCATGGATGGAAGCGTGTGGGCCTGCAGCTTAAAGGCTGCTGCTTTGGGTGTCTTTCTTAGAAGGCTCTTAGCACGCTTCTTGGTACCATGAACTAAGTTTCCCTTAGTACATGTGTGCATGGAATGGCTCTTAACTCGGCACTAACAGCTAGATGTGGGCGGTATCTGGGAGTTCATCTGAATGGGGGGTCACTTGCAGAGTGCTAAATGAAATACAAGGTATATCCAGGCACCTGGGTCATCCAAGGCAGCTCTTTTTACTTAGCAGTTCCCGATGTTCCTTCCCGTTCTCTGGCGCGGGGGTTTCAGTAGCGCTCAGCATTGGCCTAACGCTGCTCCCATTGAAGCCAATGGGAGTTTTCATTGAGGTCGATGGGAAGCCAAGTTAGGGGGATGCTTGGTGCTTTTGAAAATCCCGCTGTGAGTGATAAGCGGGAGGCTGCAGCAGGGCGCCAGGCGGGTCCCATTGGTGAACAGGGGTAACAGGCAAACTTGGGCCAGGTGGATCAGACTCTGGTTCAGGAAGCAGGAGCCCCCTCTCTCAAGCAGGTAGCATGTGGTTTCTACCCTCATCTCTAGGCTAAATGAGGACATATTGGGGAGGAGTTAATGAGTCTTACATTGGGTGTCTTAGGCTTTAAAAGGAGCAAGTATGTTTCACAAAAATCATTCCTGGCTCTGCCTGCATAATTGGAGCAGTATTCACATGTGCCAGCCTTTCACCTCGGAAGAGCTGCATTATTATAGTCCACTGAGATCAGAAGTGACATGCGTGTGAAGTATCCACCTCATTACTATGGACCAGTGGTACCAAACACCCAGTGGCTGGGCTGGGTCTGATCCCTGTATGCACATTGTCCAAACCACGTGACTTGCATTCTGGAGAATCTGACTGCTTTTATTTAATACACAAGTAGCTCCTAGCTCTTGTGTGAAGAAAGCCTGTTGGATGTGATTGATGTAATGTTGGTTTAGGCAGCATGGCACAGATTTGAAGGTGTGCCTTGCTCAAGTCACTATTGTCACGTGTTAACTCTGAAACCTAACGAGAGATCAAAGGGCAGATATTCAGATAATTTAAGTGCACAAGTATAGTAGAATCTATGTTTGAACTAATTGAGGGTTGAGGAATTCATAAAACTTAAGCTCTCAGTTACAGTTCGTACAGTACATAGGTTGTGGTGTGGCACACTGCATCACTTGTTCAAAGCACTTCAAAGCAATTTTCAGTGCACTGAAGGCATCAGAATGTGAGGGGATGTCGACTTGTTCTTCATTAACATCACTTTTGTTGTGTGATAATTTTTTTGTTTTTGTTTCCCTTGTGGGGAGAACATGGTTCCTACAACTGGTCATTCGTAACACTGGTGTTCATAAAATCCACGCTGTACTGTCTGTGCCTAATTTGCTTCACAATTACTGCAGTTGTGTGCTCAAAACTACACACAACTGGTCAAGTAGACACCAGCTGAAATAGCTGTGGTCCTAAAACTACCCTGCATAACACTTTACTGCTGCATTCAGCACCATTCTTTTCACTAGCTGAGGATTCAGTCATGCCCTCAGTTACAAGGGGTGGAGTTCCCATGGGAGTTACATATGCAGAACAGCTGAAATTTGGACCTAAAAGCTTAGATATGGCCTACGAGTCATCAGCTAACCTCAGGGTGACATTCTGGCTTGACTGAAGTCAACGGAGCCAAGATCTCACCCTCTGTCTGTATGCAAACCTCCAGTTAGGCCAGAGTCTGAGTGGTGTGGGTGTTACTCTGGTTTAGGCCTGTTGTTACCAGCGTAGTTTATGCTCCTGACTTTGTCACTCTTTGGATTTAACCACTGTTGCTCTCATTTGCAGGAAGGCAAAGGCAGCGTGGCCGTGAGGGTAGCTCTGGGCGAAACCCAGCTAGTCCAGGACGTCCGCCAGTTCCTGATCGACAATGGAGTCAGCCTGGATTCCTTCAGTCAGGTGAGGCACTTCAGTAGCTCCGGCTCAGCAGAAACCCTGCTCGCTGCAGCAGCAGATGGCTTATTTCTTCTCACCTTAGTGTCTGGGTGTTCAGGAGAGAGTGATGCAGGCTGATGGTGTGGGGGTGCTCTCTCTGTCAGGGTGGGTCACTCATCTATAAATACTTGAACGGTGAACAGCAGAGAGAATGGTCTGTAAGTTAGCAGTCTGCTCCTGGCTTAGTGGGCAAGCTGGGTGCTACGAGGATTGGGAACATTGGCCTTTCAGCTCTCTTGATCACGTGGTGCGCAACACACACGAAACTTGAGGCTCTTTTCACGCTTGTCATCCCATTGGTTCCTGGTGCTTAGTCCTTACAGTGCCATGGCTGGATGCAGAGGAAAACCTTAAACCTTGGAGTCGGTGGCACTAGGATTTGGGATGTTTCTTCTCCAGCTGCCAGGGAAGGTGAACACATTTGACCTGGCTCCTTTCACCCTCTTACTTATTTGCAGCCATCTGTCTCTAGAAATCCCCCTTCAGGGCTTTTCAGTCTGCTTGTGTTCTCCTCTTGGAGGTCTGCAGATCCATCAGAAGCCTCAGGTCAATCTCAGCAAGATTCTGAGAAGCTTGAGTATAAAAATGTGAACTACAAAGTCCCTACTCCATTTTTTTCCCCCGGTTTTCCATTTCACAAATATGGATGTTTTGTTTTGTTTTATTTTTTTTTGGGCCCAGTTTTGAGTAGAGTAGTAAAAGCCATGTCTGAAATCGGTGCTAGGCTAGAAGAACTTGCACGGCATCTTTGCATGCTAACCATCCCTGTGCACAGACCTCCTCAGCACAGCTCTGGGGATGGGATTTGCTGGCTGACGGCTGGTGCAGGACCAGCTGAATGATCACACTCATTAATAGTTCTCATCCTTCTGTCCCAGCCCTTAATATCCATGTGTAAGTGTTAAATAAGTCAATTTAGGGTTATGTATTATCTTCTCCCCACCCAAGTATCTCAAATGATGGGGGTTTGATCCTGATCCCCATAACTCTCATTGAAGTCAGTTGCTGAGATTGCTCAGCACCTTACAGGATTGAACCCTAAATGTGCAGGAGTAGATTCACCCACCACAGAAATGTGCCCAGCCTGGAGTGGGACATGGCAGCTGTTCGAATGCACGCAGCAATACGAAGCTAGCTGAACTGAAAATGGAGAACAGCAGCGTGTGTGGATGTATTGTATGTTGGGAACTGATGCCTGGCCCCGTGAGTGAATGGAGTTTGTCCACTGGGGCTGCATTTCAAATGGCAGGAAGGGAATTTTACACAGCTCTTTGTGGGTTTGCAGTGTATCCTGGAAGCATATAAAATGGAGCAGGGGGGCCCCCAAAGTCTCAGACCCCTTATAAGAATCCTCCTCTGTATTTTTCTCCCCACACACACACACCTTTTCAGGCTGCTGGAGAGCGGAGTAAAACTGTGATCCTAGTTAAGAATCTCCCTGCCGGCACTAAAGTGGTGGAGCTGGAGGAGGTCTTTGGCCCATATGGCAGCCTCGGGCGAGTGCTGCTCCCGGAAGGAGGGATCACGGCCATTGTGGAATTCTTGGAGCCCACGGAGGCCAAGCGAGCCTTCACCAAGCTGGCCTACTCCAAGGTAAGCATGAAGATGGCAACATGTGTCGTCTAATGTGGAACTCTCACTTCGGGAGAGGAGATCCAGGCTAGGCAGGCTAATGCAAATCTGCCCTCTTCTCTGTCCCAGTGTTGGCACTTTGAGAAGCCAGGTAGGAACAATTTGATCAGGTATCAATATCTTAAAACCTCAGATGTAATCATTAGTAATCAAATTCAAATTCAAAAGGGTGCAAGTTCTTGCTTAATGTGGAGGGGCTGAAAGAAGCAATCTCTAGAAGTGGGGAGAAGGTCAGGGCATTTTTAGGAGAATAAAATCCCCCCATGTTGCTATTTCCTGGTCCTTCAGTGTCGTTCAAACTCAGCCCTAGAGAACGCTCCTGAACCCCCAGTGAGAACACGCCCTGAAGGGAGAGCATGCAGCTGTGGCTTTTAACCTCCAGACAGCTCCCATCTCCTGTAATATGTCCCTTGAGAAGGTAGAGCTGAGATTTGAACGTATGTTCTCCTCCACCCCCTCGCATCTGCAAAGTCACTTCTCCCCTGCCTTGTAGCCATCCCTTGTATCTGTCACCCTTGCAGTTTCAGCACGTCCCTCTGTATCTCGAGTGGGCTCCCATGGGTGTCTTTTCCTGCCCACCCCCTGAGAAGAAGCAGGCTGAGATTCCAGAAGAGGAAGGAGAAGCAAGGCTGGGAACTGGTAAGAATTTTTATTTGGGGGAGGAGGTATTTACTGTAGTGTGTGTGACCCTGCTTTTCCTGTAGAGCAGTGGCCATGCTGTTCTTGTCCTAAATGGATGAGAACCTCTGCCTTACTTGAAGTCCCCTCTTGAAGTTGCTTTGAGGATCGTGTGTCTAGAGATGAGCAGAGTTTCTCTTCCCCCATCATTCTGCAGAGCACTTGACTGCTGACCTGGGAAAGCAGATGTCTCTAGACCTAAGCGGTACAGCAGTGCACTTGCTTGCTGTTGCCATTCTCTCCCTTTGGGTTTTTGGAAGCCAGTGCTGGTGTTAGAAATGGGGCTAAGATTTGGTGCGGTATCGGGGTTCAATTGGTAGCATGTGTGAGGTCAGTGGGGTGAATAGAGCTAAGATATTAAGCAGTGTGGGAGAATGATTGTGGCTCAGAAATGCAGGGGCAGCGTTATTCATTTGTATTACTATAGTACCCAGGGGCCCTCGATATAGACCAAGACCCCATTGTGCTAGGCGCTGTAGAAGCGCACAACAAAAATACAGTTCCTTACATAAGCGGCTTACTATTGAAGTACATCATAAGAGGCAACGGATGGCTATTGACGCGCCGAGGAGTACAAGTGAACGATGAGACAGTATTGGGCTGCGTGAGAGGTAGAGATCTGTGCACACCAACAGCCTGCCCGTTGCCATATTTTGCGTAGGCATCCTGACAGAGGAGGGGTCTGGAGGAGGGTAATGAGGTAGGTGTGCCAATGTTTATGGGCAGCGCCTCCCAAGCGTATGGAATAATGCAGGAGAAAGCACGGAGGGGGTTGAAAATTTAAAAAGTGGGCAGTGGAGGATGACCTCATGGGCTGAATGTCGCCATCTCAACAGCAAATGAGACCCTATGACGGGCCTTGAAAGTGAGTACAATTGGCTTATCTTTGATGCAACGGAGAAGGGGGAGCCAGTGGAAGGGTGCAAAGAGGGCTGACACAGTCAAAGTGATGGGCTAGGGAAATGATCTTTGCAGTCGCATTCTGAATGGCTGCGAGCAGGGATTTGTCAAGGCCAGAGAAGGATGTTCTAGGAATCGAGCCGTGAAGTGATGAGAATTTTGTTGCTGTGTGCATGGATAAGAGGGGCTGTATCGTAGAGGTGTTATGCCCAAAGAATTGGCAAGATTTAGATGCAGCCTGGATGCGAGGACTTAGAGAGAGGTCCGAGTCAAAGATGACACTCAGGTTGCAGGTCTGAATGGTGGTATCCAGTCGTTAACAAAGGAGGTAATGGGGAGGGCTTGCAGGGGAAGATTAGGAGCTCGGGTTTAGCCATGTTTAGTTTGAGCTGGTGTCTAGAGATTCATAGAATCATAGAATATCAGGTTGGAAGGGAGGTCATCTAGTCCAACCCCCTGCTCAAAGCAGGACCAATCCCCAGTTTTTGCCCCAGATCCCTAAATGGCCCCCTCAAGGATTGAACTCACAACCCTGGGTTTAGCAGGCCAATGCTCAAACCACTGAGCTATCCCACCATGAGGCAGCGTCAATGACAGGCTGAGTTTTTAGTCTGGACAGGAGACAGGTCTGGAGTGAAGAGGTGAATCTGAGTTGTCAGCACAGAGGTAGTCATTGAATTTGTGTTTGTCAGTGACGTTACCCAGAGATGAGGTGCAGAGAGAGAGGAGAAGAGGACCAAAGACAGAGCCCTAAAGAACCTCCACAGGGAGTTAAAGGGTGGATGAGGAGGATCCCCCGAGGAACACACTGAAGGAGCAATTAGAGATGTAGGAGCGGACAGAGTCACGGAAGCCAAGGGAGGACAGGACTTGAAGAAGAGCACAGGTGACTGTATCAGAGATGGCCAACAGGTCAAGAAGGATGAGGATGGAATATTTGATAGAATAGAGAAGAGGGAACTAAAGAAGAGATGCAAAGAAAATTGTTTGCTTAGACTTTCCCCTTATTCGCCCTTAATGCAAATGCAGTGTGGACCAAGAAAATATGCATCTTTCTTGGGTGCAATAGTTTTTATGCTTCATGTGCTTTAGTATCAGTACTGGTTCCAAAAATATGCAGATTCCTTTGTTGAAGGAGGGTGATTTGAGGAGTTTCAGGAAAACTAGGCAGATGAGATTAAAGCCAGGCCAAAAAAGGCAGGAAGTGTCCGGCTGAAGGCCTTTTTTCCTGCCCCTGAAACACACACATGGCTAGAAGATGGCACTCATGACCAGGGCCAAACAAGGTAGCAATTGTGCTAGTCTCATTGCCACTCTCAGCTTTGTGTCCATGAAGCCCAGCCAGTGGGAGAACTTTGAAACCAGTGAATGTTTATGGCTTTGTGCGAGGATCTATGGTGGCTTCTGTTGGAGCTTCTGATCTTGAGCCTTCAGCAGCTCCACTGCCCCAAAAGAGAGAACTGTAGCAACTCCTCACTTTCAACACCTTGGAGTTAGGACGTCAGGGGGAACGCAGGGCACATTCAGTGCCTTGAGACGCTCAGGATTGTTCCTGATACAGTAGTTTCTGGTGCTCCGTGTAGTCCATTTTTAAAAGTCTTGGTGGATGGGACTAACTCCACTTCTAGTGGAGATGATCACACTGTCTAAGATCTTGCCATTAGGAGACGCACTCCTGAGATTGTCAAATCTGGTGACTTGAGAGTTGGCCTCACTGGCGCTTAGATACTGAAGTGACAGCTGATGGGTAATATTTCTGCTTTAGAAAGGGTATTATGATGAACATTATTATTATTATTATTTATTATAGCCCAGACCTGAAGAAGAGCTCTGTGTAGCTCAGAAGCTCATCTCTCTCACCAGCAGAAGTTGGTCCAGTAAAAGATGTTATCTCAGCCATCTCGTGTCTCAATTATTCCAAGAGGCAGCATAAATAGCTTACAGGGACTGTACAAGCCACCACCCCGACTAGAGAGTTCTCTCCATGTGCATAATTGGTATAAATGGAGACTGAGCTCTATAAAGAGGGTAGGAGAAGCAGTCCCAGAACAAAAGGACGAGCAAGGCCAATCTGCTGCTGTTACTTAACATGCAGCAGTGCCAGTAGGTCTCAACCAGGTCAGGTCCCCATTGTGCCAGGTGCTGTGTGAACACACAGCAATTACAGTCCCTGCCCCAGAGAGCTTAGTCTGAAAGGCAAGACCGATGAGGTGGATGAGAGGAATGGTTTGGGGGTGGGGGGGAGGATGAGATCGTGGTTACAGCATCTGACTAGGACTTGGGAGAGCTGAGTTCAATTCCTGACTCTGCCACAGCCTGCCTGGATGAGTCACTGAATCCACCCGGTGCCTCAGTTTCCCCATCGTAAATTGGGGGCAGTGCTTTCCTACCCCACAGAGATGTTGAGGAAAAAATCCTTCAGTGAATTTGGGGTGATTGGATACCATGGTGATGAGGGCCCTATCAGTACTGAGATAGGAAGGATGAAGTAACACCAACAGTAGCTGTGATGGGGCACTTTAGTATCGACAACATGACATGGAAGCGGATTGACCCCTCCCCCAAACTTTATAACAAAGCCAGTTATTGACAGAATTTCCCCATCAGAGGGAGGGGAGTGACACAGCTGAGCACATGCCTGTTGTCCGCATGTGTTACATGGTGCCCTCCTGTAAGGGTCTAAAGAGCCTAATTGAAGGGCCAGGCCTGAGGATCCCAGCTCTAATTGAACAAAGGAAGGTAGCACCAGGCAGCAGGGCCCAGACCAGCTGATTGCCTGGCTGGCAGGTCGTGGAGCAGCGTGTGCATTTGTGTGCTTGCCTATGTTAATTTCAAGCCCCACTGCACGCCTTGTGTGGGTGAATTCCCACTGCTCTTATGGTAAGGACATGACCTTTTTTATGTCTTTCCCCTCTCCATCCCTGGGGCTTTTTAGCATTGCTCTTGCATATTTGAGGCCTTAAACACTTTTAAAACCAGTACGGAAGGAGGTTGGATAGCTGAGGTTTTATTATTTGTAATTTTTTTTCCCCCTGGAAGCCTTTTCAAGACGATCAGGGAGGTGGAGGGAGCCGATGAAATCTTTTCCCATTCCAGGTCCTGTGGGAGGGACAAAGATAGGGGCAGCTGTTTTATCTCCCCATAACCGAGACCCTCACCTCCAGATAAAGGGCTTTAAGCACAGGAGCTCCTGGAAAGCTGCTTCAGTTTGATAATGGTCTTTGCTGTCAGCCTTTGGCACCATACGCCTGGGGAAAGGTGTGGGAGGGAGGCAGCAGTAAATTCCTTAGTCTGATTACAACAGAGCCCCGTGTGACTGTGTGTGACTGTTGTGCTAACTGCAGATGGAGGCACCTTTCCCCCACCTAAATCTTTCCCCTCTTCCAACCCATTTGTCTTCAAAACCAGTGAATTTTCTACGCAAGTTTGCTGATTTCCAACAATTGCTAAAAGTTTCTCTTGCAATTAAGGGTGAAAGTGCTTGGCCAAAAGAAAAAAAACTTGAAACATTTTTTTCAGGGCAGAAGAAATTTACAGTTGATCACTTGTTTCTGTGACTTGTGTCTGGTTCTGAAAAGCTTTTTAACCAAAGCAGGGATCTGGGTACACTTTGGAACCAACCCAGCTCATGGCACTGTTGTCTCAGCAGAACATGCCTATTCAACAGAATAGCAGATGATCAGCACAATACTCAGTACAAAGGGTAGATGCAATAGGAAGGCCAAGCTAGTCATACGTCTTTGGCACCAATTACGCCTTCCGACACCTCTCCAGTGGATTGGGTCAGATCCTGCTCCTCTTGGAGACAATAAAAAACTCCAACCACCTCCCATGAACTGTAGTGGGGCGAGCTAATAAGCCTGATCCTAAGCCCTTTGCAGTCAGTGTCAAGATCCCTGTTAAGTTCAGTGTGCTTTGGATGAGGCCCAAAGGCTACGAGGGATCTCTCACACCTTCCTCTGAAGCATCTTACGCTGATCACTGAGGTGGGAGGCCAGGCTGGCTGGATGTGGTTTGGCAACTCGTGTGTATGTGGTGAGCCCTGGAGAGAGCTGTTGGTGCCCAGTGCTGGCGCATACCATGCTGGGGTGAGAGAGGTGAATTGCAGTCAGCAGTGGAGGTGCTCAGGGCAGGCCCTAAAGCTAAGGAATTAGGCTGGTTACTTAGGGAAAGCACCACATTTGGTGCTCGGATACGATGGTAGTGGAGGGCTAGGTGAGCATTTAGAGAGATTGGGGGTATAGTGATAGTTGTAAGACATGCTTCTTGGGTCTCTGTCATTTCTGGAAGACCTTCCAGACAGCTGCCTTTGGTTTTGCAGCCCAGCTTTTCTGCGGAGGAGAGAGCCCAAGAGCGAGGTTGTGTTGGCGATATCTTCCTCTCTGGGTGAGGAGGAAGAGTGTTTCAGTCACTCTTCTACCTTGCCTTGGTGCCAGGTGGAAGGAGGACAGCATGTGGGTTTGAATTGCTGATAATGCTGGAAGCCAGCCATGGGTTGTTTCCTAATGCCAGCATTTGGAATGGAGATGGGAGAAGGTGGTGAATAGAGATGTTGGAATTCCCTACTTTGTATGTGGATCATTTTCTGGGAAGTTTGGGGCACAAGGCAAATTTCCAGTTTAGATTCTGATATTAGCCTCATGCTCTGGGTTGTGCATCCCTCCTGAGCCTGCCTTTCCCTTTCTCACTCCTCTCCACCTCCTTTCTGGACAGCCTCTCCGACTTCCTCAGTTGTTAAACAATGGGCCTCAGAAAAATGTGAAGTTCTTTTCCCCTTTCCTTTCCTTTTTCTTTTCTCTTTGCGGCAGAGATAGGATGGCTGCATGTTCCACTGATGTTAAAAGGACAACGTTATCATTGTTGCTGTTTTCATTAAAGCATAAAAGGGCCATTTCATGCCAGAGCCCTTGAAGATTAATTAGAAGTTTAATACATTTGGTTTGTTTCTTGAAAGTAGAAAAAGGCTGGTGGAGTCTTCGTGGTACTTGCTGTGGTGAGTCGAATGATTATGGACAAAAACCCGTGAAGTTCCCTTTCACGTACACAAGTCTTTCAAACCTTGCTACAGCCTCCATCAAAATGGGCTGAAGCAGAAGCTGTTCACGAAGGGGATGGGTTGGCGCAGCGAACAGGTTACTTAGGGAAAGCACCTAAGTGGGTTGTGGGTTGGCGCAGCGAAGGTGACTGAAGATTGGCCCATAAACTATTTTAAAAATTAAGTAAGCCAAGTGAGATGCAGCATTTGCTACCCTGTTGATTCCTGGCTGTTGTGCAGAGGGGATGCAGTTGTGTCTCAGTGCTGGAGGTTCCCAGGTGTCGTTCTGTGGTTTAGCAGAAGGGGTGCTGTTGTCTCTCAGTGCTGGAGGTTCCTTTGTGGTGCACTGGACTGTATCCGAGGTGATACAGTTGCGTTTGTGGTGGCGGTTCCCAGGTAATATGTAATATGGTGAGTGCCAGGGAACACTACAGCAGTGTCGTCATTACTTGTGGTATTTCAGAAGAGCAGTACAGTTGTGTGTTGATTACCAAATGCTACGATCTGTGTTGCAGTTCAGCTGAGTAAGGTCCATAGATCATGGAAAATAAACTAGCAGAGCAGAGGCAGTACTGTATTGGCTGGGTGCTCTAGGAGCATGGCTGCCATCTTGAACCTGGTCCTCAGTTGTCCTTTTATCCAGTCAGTGAGTTGAGTATTTTGAGGTATTTTATGCACCGATGCAGGAGTAGACCTTGTACATCAAATACTTGATTAGCAGCCTCTGTCAAGAGAGGGCTATACTGGAGTAGCAGTGGGTATTTCAGGCCAAGGTTGAGGGATACTTGTAGAGCTGTGCAAGATCCCAAGGTTGGAGCAAGTATCTACCTAGGCTTGTCACCAGAGTGTCTGGCCTCCTGGAAAGTAGTATGCTGTAGGTCGGAATTCAGGGGTGTTAGAAGAACAATACATGGCTTACACTAGCTATACATGTTGTGGCTGCGTGTCCAAGAGCATCAAGTTCACCCACAGAACTTACTAAATGCAGCTAGAGAGATGAGTCATTATAGTCTGTGCGTTGATGACTCCGACAGTAGGGTCAAAATACAATAAATCCCTTCAGTCTCCAGAACTGCCTGGAGTTACATTTTATGGTGTTTATGGTTTGTTCTTTGCTTTACAGCTAGTGATGAAACTGAGGAAACTAAAAAGGGCTCAGAAGAAATAGATGAAGAGGAGGAGGAGGAGGAGGAGAGTGTTCCAGGATGTACACTGTTCATCAAAAACCTCAACTTTGCCACCACAGAAGATACGCTGAAGGAGGTGAACAAAGGGAGAGGTGGTGGGACTGGGTGTTGCATGTGTCCAGCAATGTTCTGTTTAGATGGAGCAGCTCGGTTTGAGTGGCTTGGTCAGGGTCAAACAGTGAGTTTGTTGCTCAACCTGGATTTAAAAGTCCTTCAGCTGCTCTACTGTTTGGTATTTTAAAGCTATCGATAAAGCATTCATCAGTACATATCTTTCATCCAAGCCTCTACAAACATTGAGCCCCCCCTGGCCCTTGTGAGAAAAGTCTCATAGCCATTTTGCTAGGGTAAAGAGTAGTAGAGAGGTGAGGCAGCTTTCCTAAGGTCATACAGTAAGTCAGTGGCAGAGGCGGAAGAGTAACCTGAAGTTCTTTCTGTTTCCTTTTCCAGCTACTAAACTCCTCTCCATTTTGCTGGTAGGAGACAATAGATGTAGCTATAGACCACGCTAGAGCTGTTCTCCAGCTTGGTTGTGAAAATATTATGCTGCACAGATTGGGGCTAGTGGTGGCTTTGAATGCTCAGAGAATCTTGCACTTGGGTTTTTTCATTCACATCAATTGTCATGTTAGAGGGCAGTCAAGTAGACTGTCTACCTGGAAACTTTACCAGCACAGGCAGTTTTCAAAGGCTAACTTAATTGCTCAGACATCCCTAGCGATCCATCTCCAGACTGGAGTGTGTTATCCCATCCTGTATCCCAGTAGAGGTACCCCCATTTCCCTTACCTTTCATGCCTAGCTCACTGTTGAAACACCAAATGTTTCAATAATCTCCCATACAGGTAGTCAAAATTGGAGGAAACCTATCTATCCTCCTCTTTGTTTCCTTCCTGTACATATCATGGATCCAAAGGCCTTGAATTTGTAGAATTGATGTGTTCATAGAATCATAGAATATCAGGGTTGGAAGAGACCTCAGGAGGTCATCTAGTCCAATCCCCAACTAAATCATCCCAGCCAAGGCTTTGTCAAGCCTGACCTTAAAAATATCTAAGGAAGGAGATTCCACCACCTCTCTAGGTAATGCATTCCAGCGTTTCACCACCCTCCTAGTGAAAAAGATTTTCCTAATATCCAACCTAAACCTCCCCCACTGCAACTTGAGACCATTACTCCTCGTTCTGTCATCTGCTACCACTGAGAACAGTCTAGGTCCATCCTCTTTGGAACCCCCTTTTAGGTATTTGAAAGCAGCTATCAAATCCCCCCTCACTCTATGGTTTAAGGGAACCACAAACTCCTGTAGATTCACTAGTACCTAATTAGGTCCAATCCGTTCACCATACCTTATACTTTCATTGGGGCTATGCAACATATAATTAAGCCTGGCAGAATTCAGTTTTTATTTTTTATAAAATGATGGCTAATAGCAATGTTTATTGCTAGCATTTTTTTGTTGTAAACTTTCACAGTTGTGGGAAATTATAGGAGGGGTTGGACACTCGGGGGGAAGGGTGTCAGACAGACAGTTATTTAATGACAGTAGATGTTGAGATTCAAAAAGTTAAAGCTTTCTAACCATTAAAACATAAATTGTCAACATCACACATCAAAATATACAAAGTAAAAATCCTTAAACTGTAGTTCTCAAGCAGCATTTTTTATTGCCTATCTGTTTCAGGTTTGATTATCATGGATAGAAATATTTTTTGTGTGTGCATGTGTATACGGTGAAATCAACGTTCACCAACATTTGTCAATAAAAATCGAATCCTTCCGAGCCTACATATTACATAGGAGAGCTGCCACAGGCACTTCTTGGTACCTCCCATGCGGTACTGGAAAGAGAAATGTTCTAAGGATATTGTAATGAACTGGCAATGGTTAGATCAGCTTTGAAGGAGCCAGTGTCTGGGTGGAAGCATTCTTTTAAGTACTTCAGTATTCTGTAGCAGTGATCTAAACTACTGCATCTTTCCATAGCTATAGTGCAGTGTGATGGATAATTACTGAGAGAGTGTTTTAAATAAAGGCTGTCACAACAGAATGCATGATGTGTGTCTTTTCCTTGTTCGGTGTGCATCTCTCTCTCTCGCTGTGGGTTGACTTTGTCTGTTTCAGTTGCTACAAAAGGGGAACGTTGTCAAAGGGTTACACTTTAATTACAAAGAGAACTAAGGACCATGTAAAATTCTTTCAGACGTTTTCCAAAGTGGGAGCTGTGAAGAGCTGCACGATCTCAAAGAAGAAAGACAAAGCAGGTACTCCTATGAATCGTTGTGCATTTCCTTCTGCTTGGGTTGGTGGTGGTGATGCCTTCTGCGTTCATTTGTGTGGGCAATTGGATAGTTGATGTTAAAAATCTTCCTTATGTGCCCAGAAATACATATGTTGAAATGACTGAAAACATAAGCCTCAAAAATTAAGTGCTGACTAAACCAGGAAGGTCATGCCCCAAAGGTAAGTATTAAACCATGGTGGGACTCGTAGTTGTTCAGCTGAAGGCTCCGTGAAAGTGTCATAAGCTCTACTTCACACCAAGGTCTTTTGAAGAGTTCAGTCAATTTTAAAAAGAAACCTCACAGGCACATCTGCCTACCCAGCCCCATGTTTGCTCATGATCTGTGATACACACATGATCTGATTTTAGGAGAGAACTGTGTCTAGCTTCACTCTACCTTCCAGGACAATCAATTTCTGTCACTGAAGAATGACTTCTGTAGCTTAGTGCCATCAAAGTTTGGAAACTTGCCATTGTGTTTTCTGCTCAGGGCCTTACTTATGGATCCCTGAAGTTACGATACTATGACCCTGTTCCCTAAAAGCGTTGCATGGCCTTGGGTGTTGCAAACTTTTGCTGAATAAGGAAATAACTTGATCTATAGCCCTTTAATTATCTTTTCATTGTCGTCTCTAGCGAATGTCTCATTCTTCAGTACATAACCTAGAACTGATAAGAGTGACCATACAGGGACTATGCTTAGTTTGCATCTATTCTGTGGCGCTCAGAGGGACTCTGGCACACAAGTGAAATTTAGGGCACAACCTAGGTGATAAAGTGAAAGACATCAAATAATGTTCTCTGGCTTGTAAATAGATCTCAATCCTTTACTCCCTTGCCAAGACATTTGCACGGTGGTTTGGAGAAGACCTAATATGTATAAGCCCTATGCTCCTGGCTCGGTAGCAGTAGTTAGTTAGCTGCTTCTGTATCTGTGCACTTGCTGTACTGCTGACATCCCCAGTGGTCTGAATAACCAGGAAGGGGTGAATAGTCATTCTGTCAGCTGCTGAAGCTTTTGGAAATAAAGGGAGAAGTCTGTGTCTGGTAAGTGGGAATAGGGCCACCCTAAAGGGCAGACGCTGTTTTTACATTAACCAATGGGAGAGTGGAGAGCATGAAATCGTTGGTTCCCAAATTAATTGAACTCCTGGTCTGGAATTATTTAACAAGCAGTTTCCATTCACATATCTAGGAAGAGTGTTCAGGCTCCCATATGCTGGGCACTGAATGTACGCAGAGACAGTCTCTCACCCCAAAGAGCTTACCCTATAAATATGACAACGGATATATTGTCTCCACTTCACAATTGGCAGTGGGCACATGCAGTTGAAATGAGCTGCCTATGGATACATGGGATTTTTGTGGCAGAGCCAATTCTTTCCTGAGTCTTAGACCAGGGCTCTAGCCAAAAGCCCATCCTTTCTGACGAGGGATCTACCTAGATGACAAACCTTTTTAAGGCTCCATTTACAATTGTTTTTTATTGGCATGTGCAACGTATTTCCTCCTTGATGGCCAGAGTGAACTCTTTGATGGGTTTCAGATAAAAATACAGTCAAAACTCCAGCCGCAGGTTTTACATCCGTCTAAAAGGAAGCGTAAATTATTAGGGGGTATCTTTGTCCGAATAGGGCATGGTAGGAATGCCCAGAGAGTGCCTATGTCTGGATTATGGTGAAAATTTCATTCCAAAAGTTTGCCACTGCAGCAGTGCAGGAAACCCTGTGCATGGACAAATTTATATGTAAGCAGTATGGTGACTGACCTTCTATGTGCATAGCTATCATTTCTGTAGGACCGATAGTTAGGTTTTTGTTTAGTTGCATTCAAAGAAGTTACATATGAAATGGATTTCCACTCTACACAGCTGTCATACAACTTTCTTTGCATCATCTCCAGGATGACTTTATCCTGAAGTGTCACAATTTCAGTTGTTTTAATTACCCATGGCTCCTCTGGGACTCTGGCACACAAGTGAAATTTAGGGCACAACCTAGGTGATAAAGTGAAAGACATCAGATAATGTTCTCTGGCTTGTAAATAGATTTAGTCCAGCAAAGCTCACCCCATATCTAGCAGTGTTGATTCACTTTTTCGTTGTCGGTCATTAACCAGTCACAAGGGCCTATCCATTGTGCGGGCCACTATCGAATGCTTTTCGCCAAAGCATTTACGGGGCTCTTTCCTTCCCTTTCTGGCAGGCACTTTACTTCCTATGGGCTTTGGATTTGTGGAGTATAAGAAACCAGAGCATGCTCAGAAAGCCCTCCGACAGCTCCAGGTAACCGTGGGAAACGCAGCCAAAGGGGAGGAGTGGGTGGGTCATGAGCACTGTTCCCTCTAAGCTGTGCGTGTGCACACAGATCCTAAACCCTGCGCACACAGCGAAACATTGCGTGTACAAAAATTTGCACAGAAGAAATTCTTTGCGCACACGGCCTGTCAGAAATTAGAGGGAACATTGGTCATGAGGCACCGAGAACCCTTCTAATATTTGTTTTTCAGTAGTTCCCTGCAGGCTGCGACTGAGGTCAGAACCCCATTGTGCTGAGTGCTGAACATATCCCTAGTAAGACGGTCCCTGCCCAAAAGGGCCCAAAATCTAAAGACACAGGCTGGGAGTGGAAGTAGTGGCTCAGGGAGGGAAAGTGACTCGCTCAGCATCACATCTCTGGCACAGTTGGGATTAACTCAGGTATCTTGACTCCCATGCCAATGCCTTGGCTACTAGACCACACTGCTTCCCCATCTGTATTTATACTCTTCACCTGTATTAACTGCGCTTGGAAAGAGAAGAGCTTTGGGTGAAGGAGAGGTGGGAGGAAGTAGAGTTGAGATGTAAAACTTCTTCTCTGTTCTTAAGGTCTATCTCTTTTAGCAAACTTTGTAACTTGCTTTTTTAGGGTTGCTCAGTAGATGGCCATCAGCTGGATGTGAAGATCTCTGAAAGGGCCATAAAGTAAGTCTATCTGATTCCTGTCTGACTTCTCTGCACCAAATACACTTAAGCAGCAGGAGCCCTTGATTGCCCAGAATGGCTCTTTAATTTCTTTACAGTATGGTTGCTGGTGGCACTTCATAATTCAGTTGGTGAATAGTGCCAGTCTTAAATACACATTTACCTGATATGCTGGAACAATCCTATGGAACAAATGTTTTTCCTGGGCTCTTTCAGATGATCAGGTGTAAGTCTTCAAAAATAGCAGTCGTAATGGTGTTAGTCCAGTATATTAACTCCAAGGTGTAGCCAGTTGTTTGACTACACTCGCTGTTCATTCTTAAAAATGTTAGAGAGACCAAATAACTAATCTTAACCAATTTTATTGTCTAAAGGCAAAGTAGGACAATATGAAAAGGAAACATACATACCCTCCCTCTGGGAAGCAATCCTTATCTCACAGCATGTTCACCGTACGCACAAGTTGTGCTTCAAAGATACACGTTGCAACTAGTAGTGTTTATAGTATGATTTTTTTACAAGTTACAGAATGCTTTTCACATTACTTAAAGTAAGTTTAACCCACTGGTTTATGCCAGCTTTGTCCTTAGTACCTCCCTATATTTTCCCATATCTTGGGTTGAATTGCTGCATTCCAAGTGTTGATGAGCCATGAAAATACTCCCAAAGTGTACTTGGTACAAAGGGTTCCTGCATCCTTGCTTTGAAAAGTTTCCTATTTTCTAATGCCAAAGCTGACTTCAGCTTCGCAAAGTGTTGTGGGATGTATGACGTAGGTGAACAGAATTGTGGGAAGAGCATAATACATTCAGTTAACATAATTTCCCATCTCCGATATGTATTATATTAATACTGTGTGCATAATACCTATTAATATGGTGTATACTACACCTAACATATATGCATTGACCAACAAGTGGATAGGAATAACTGAAATTTTAGGTGGCGATCTGTTTTTATTAGACTAAGTAGAAAATTAAAAAGGAAGCACTGAGCTTCTGGGAATCGGAAGGAAGAAAGCAAAGCAACACTAAATGATTTCATCACTTAAGTGAGAGACGCTAGACTAAAGGTGAACTATACTAGAAAAGTTGTCATAAGGGTCTCCTTGGGGTAATTTGCTATTCTCCTCCCAGCTTCTTAAAGAAAAGCATCTTTCCACTGTCATCCTCCTCTGTCCTGTAGATGATATTGTTCTGTGCCCCTTCCTTCATGCTGAAGGCATCTTTGTTAGACCAAGGGGAGCTGCATCGGACTTCCCTTAACGGCCCATCTGTACAGCTCTTCGGCTGCTGTGGGGTAATGCACCACTCTGTACATTGAGACCCAAGAATTGCCTCCACCTCCTGCTGGCTTGGACAGCCAGAATCCATGTCTTGAAATTAAACCTGGTGGCTTTACAGAGTAGTATGAACTGTTCATGCTATTTACAGCCTGTCAGAGAACAGTTAAAAGTGAAACTAAAGGCACAAGCTATGCTTCACTTACACTACTTTAGCCAGTGTTGCAAACTTCTTCTCCCTGCTGTACCAGAGCAGGTCAGCAAATCAGCGGAAGGATTGGTCTGTTCCAGAATGGTAATCCCTAGGTAGTGCTTTATTTACTTGTCTTGAAATAGCACCCAGCCCAGAAGCCCCTGTTACGATTGGGGTCCTGTCTGCAAGATAATGCACAAACACGTAGGAAGACTATGACCTTTTTAAAATGAGGCAGATTTTTATATATTCCAAGTATAACTGTAATCAAACTGTTCTGTTCTCCCACCTGGTCTATGAAGCATCCATTGATTCAAATAAGAAGCCATTGAGCATATCGATCAGGAAACTGGACTCCAGAATGTCTAGATTCGTAAGCTGGAAGGAACCAGAAAGAGCAAGGTCTGTGTTCTGTTCTCTACAGTGTAACTTACCATGTCTCCGTTGATTTACCAGGCCCACTGTGACACCATCCCGCAAAAAACAAACACTCAAGAAGCAAAAGAGCTCCAAGATTTTGGTCCGAAATATCCCATTCCAGGCAACCGTGAGGGAAATCAGAGAGCTGTTCAGGTAAAGAAATCTGCTGCTGCTCAGTGGGACGTTACTCACTGGGGCATCGGTGGCTGCTTTTGGCAGGTGACCTTGCTGTGTGATCATAAATATGACGGAACTGTTGTCTTACGGGTTAAGTGAGACTTTTGTTTAGTGCAGATATGGACACATGAAATAAGCAGATTACTTCTGTGTCTGAGCTCCGCTTTGAGCAGGAGCATGCGGGGCGGGAGGGGAGGCGCATTAGCGAGTGGGTCATAGTGTCTTCATCCTGAGGGCCAAACTGCTCCAGCCTCTGTCTGAATTAGAGCAACCTGGGGCTGCACTAATGTACACCAGCAGTGTCTGGCCCCCTAGGGATCATATGCCCACTAAGGATCCACACTGAGATGCCCCAATACATCCCTATCTCTTCTGACATGTTCCCTGTGCTGCATTGGTACAGTTGGTGCAGGAGCTGAGTTCTGTACCCCAACTCTTCTTAACTGGGGCAGGTCTCAGCTGGTGGGTAACAGACAGAAAGTGGCTCCTTTGCGTCCCTTAAGCTGAGAATCTGACCTCAAATGTCTCCTTGTCCAGAATGTGTTCCGTGGCTTTCCCAAGAAAGTGAGGGGTGAGGAGCACCAAGAAATTGTCCAGACAGCAGATAGAATTGTTTTACATATGACTAAACAAATTCCTCACTAGATGTGAGTATCTGCTCGGATACTAGAGTAAACTGGGGGAGTCATAGAGTTTACGGACAGAAGGGAATATCAAATAATCCAGTTGACCCCCTAGGTTCTATTTCCAGCTCTGCCCTGACCTGCTGGGTGACCGTGGGCAGGTCACTTCCCCTCTCTGTGTCTTGGAGAATAATGATGCTGACCTGCCTTGAGGTATATTGATGCAAACAGCTATATAAAAACAAAGTCTTTTAGGATGTGAGTTCACGGTGTCAGTGTTTGGAAAGAGTATAGAGAGGACTTCTTCAGGTCTTGCGGGGTTAGGTTGAATGTGTTCTAGCTTTCCTAACAATGAACCCTGTTAGACTGTAGGTTTATTCCCTAAGGGACATGGGGGGAAATCCAGATGCTTAACCCGCTCAAAGAAAACCAATATTGTGCACTGAAAAACAGTGTAGGGAACAATCCTCCAATGACATGTTGGGGTGAGCAAAACCAGAGGTCCCTGGAGAGCTTTTATTCATGGGTTTCTAAATACTGTATTAGCATGAAATCATGTAGAAGTGTTGCCAAGACATAAGAGACAAAATACTTAGGCCTCTGTAGGAGGCAAGTGTGATCCTGTGTCCTCGCTGCTCGTTGGCCAATTCTTCTGTGCAAGGGATGGGGGTGGGCTAGGGATGTTGTATGTATTTAATTGGAACCAGGCTGAGGTAACCATGTGTTAGAAGTATGTTAGTCACATTGCTTATGGCTGGAAGCTGCTCAGATGCTATTGTAATGAGCACAGTAAAAGAACGTATATAGACTAGAGAGGGCTCTTCTAGCCAGAAGTCTTTGTCTATATAAAGGCGCTTATATCTTGTATGCTTGTTCTTTGACAGAATAGTGATAGAGCCCCCAGAATTGGTCTAGACCCAAAATTTGGATCTTAGCTATTCAAATTTCTTAGGATGGGGAGGAAAATTGCCGCTGGATTTCTAATCATAGGAGACCCTTCAAGCCCCAAACTTAACTCTTCCTGCCAGTTGTAGAGCAACCAACTTGATGCGTCAAATTGCCAGTGCTCAACTGATATTCACAGTTTACCAGCCAACAGACCAAATAATAAACAAAGCCGGGCTGGCTTTCGGTTCTGTAATATATTCAGGGGACAGGAGGAATCTGTACTTGTCCAAAAGATAAAAGATCAGTACAGAGAGATGTTTTGTTTCAAGTTATTAAAAGGGCTTTGAAAAACAATGCATGGTTGAGAAGATGGGGGTATGGGACCAGTCTGATAGTGTCTGTTTTAAGGAACACGAGGCTTCTATAGCCCATTATCAAAAGCGTGTTAAGAACAATGCATGTTAATCAGGAAGCAATGTTCCACCAAAATGTCAGTTTCACTTAGTTACACAATATATTTAGGAACACATTGTTTATCTTCAGAACAAAAGCCAGCAATGAGAGAACTGAGCTGATTTAATAATGTCTCTACTTATTTTTTTCAGAAGAGCTAAAAATTTGCACACATTGAACATTATTAAATGCCAGGCATTCTTTTGGGGTTTTGTTTAAAATTGTAAGTCTTTGCCATAGATTTAGGTCCTTTGGTGGGTTTTTTTTTAATAATAATGTTTTAGTTTAAAACAATTCTTTGGAACCAGAGGCATTTCCCTCATCAAGGCAGCAGGGGGCACTCTTAGTCTTCTCAGGAAATAAAGGACAAGAGGGGAACGGCAGTTGTTGCTCGCAGACAATGACGCTGCAGGCCAGTGGTAGCTCTGCCTGTGGAGGTTAAAGGCTTTGAGGGACAAACCTCTTCTCTGTTGTTTCACATGTTTAAAAGCCACTTTCTAGCCACCCAAGTGATGTTGTCCCATAACCCAGTTCCTTTACTCCACTTCTGAATTATTGTCTGGGCAGGATATGAAACACAGAAGGTTAAAATCCTTTTTATTCTATAAAAATGTCTTCACCTTTCAAGCTTTGTCACATGAACTCTCCCTTTTAAATGTACCCAAGAATAGGTGTCAGCAATGCTAGCTGTTTGAAATGGACAATGATTGATTTGTTTAAACAGTGCAGACTTTTGGAGTCTTCAGTTCATGGATTGTTCAGAATTGCAGCTTACCCTGTTCATCTTTCTCCTCTAGTATTTTGTTGATTCAAAGATCCATCATCACAGTGCTTAGCCTCTCTGTGGAATGAGGATTATAGTTTAGGATGCAATACTAACAAGCTAAGATACATATAAAAGGCTGCCTTGTCCTTGCAGTCCTATGTTGTTACTCTCCTCTAGCCAATTCAAACTAACCTTGAAGACCTGCACCCTGGTCGTGGTAGTGGTGGGTTTTGGATCACTTTAACAAAACTTTCAGAGGAAGAGGGAGGATGAAGACAAACACTTTCGGAAAATCCATTCATGGGTGTTAAATTAGTGTTGCTTTCCCAAAACTGTAGCTTGCAGGGGATTCAAGGTGCATATCTTTGGTTTCAGAGGTTTAGGGATAAGGTTTTAATCCATTGGGAGTGTGTTGGAGAGTGAAGGTACTCCATTTTCTTCATGTGCATTTGGTGATGGTGAACACTGCCGGATTGGCAGTCCTGGAGTCTGAATCCTTTGCCTAAGCATGGACAACACTAAAATAAGCTTTTCCTCATACTATATCTGTCGCCATACTTGAATCCTGGCCTGGAGGGACTATCCCTAATAATGAGGATATTTCAGTCTGTCTGCTCTCTTTGCTGAGGCTGCTAGTTATGTAGTTTATCAATTTATAACTGTCCATTTCCAAAATGGGGGAGGGGAGACGAAAAAAATTTCTCAGATGAAGACTTTTAATTCTTTGATACTATATTGAGAGAGTCTCTTAAGCTAATCTTTTCAAAAATGAGTAATGATTTTGGGTGTCTAATTTGAGACCTGTGAAAAGGCCTTATTTTTCAGAGGGCAGCTCCTGAGCAATTTCTGAAAATTAGGTTCCTTTCAAACATGTCATGCTGGTCTCACATAATCACCACTTCCCGTCAGAAGTCTTGATCTTAATGCTTTGTTTCATAGCCATATCACTTCGTACACCAACTTAGAGAGCATAAAAAATGGAGGCATTATTGTACAGACTCGCATCACTGAATATGAAGTTACAAAGATCTTTTTCCCCTCCTAAAATAGGAGCAACTAAAATGGTAAAAGGTCCTTTACATTTTCTCTAGATCAAATAGGACTTGTTGAGGGGCAAACACTGTAGGCTACCTTCGTAGAATTATAAATGCACATGGTGCACACTCCACCAAATAAGGGAATAAGAGCTGTCATAAAATCAAATTCAGAAAAAGCTTGTGATGGGGTCGAGTGGGGCTTCTTTTGAAAATGTATGGTTTTGGGGAACTTGCATGTAAATTGGGTAAGATGTGTAAACCCTTTTCTAAAATTAGAACTATCTGTCATTGCCTCATGCTTCCAGATGAGCAGAGGAAGAAAACCAGGCTGCCCACTAGCCCCATTATTTGCCTTCAGAACATATTAAAAAAAAGAGAGAGAAAATCCCAAAATTCAAGGTTTACTTCCAGTCTAAACACTAAGTTATATAGCTTTATATGTAGATACATTATTGTACATCTGATCACCTCTGTATCCTACCTGTAGGAGTCTAATTCATTCAAATTTAGTAAGACTTCCTGGTTACAAAATTTATATGGACCTCACTCTTAACAGAAATAAGTTTACAGCTATTGGGGGAAAAAAACACACCTGAAAATAGTACCAGAACATGGTACCAGGTTATGGTTCCTAGGAATAAATATAGCCTATCACATTGCTATGTGAAAGTAACATTGTGTTGTAGAGAAGCCAATGGATTAAAGATTGGAATATGATACTGGTCAGGTTTAATGTACTAAAAATAAACGGTCTATCTATTTTATTCTTTTTCAAAGGCTTTGTTGTTGCTTATTTTCTTAAAAACAACCCCTCCTCCGCCCCAAAAAATAACCACAATTCACGACGTAGTGCTTTTAGAAGAGCAATCTAGCCAGACTAGCCAGGACAGAAGTAAGTTCCCTCTGACCGACGAAGTAGAAGCAGTCATGAATCTAAAACTGTATTACAAGGGGTAAGAGTTGGAAATTGGATCTGTTCTTCTGGAAGAAAAAAAGTATGGGTGAAGGATACAGTTGATAAAATAGGTCGAGTTTTTTTATTTTTTTAACTAAATCTTTATAAAGTTATTCTTATGTCATTATCCACTTCTTCAAAGCTTGGAATGACCTATTAAAATAAGAGTTGTTACCAGAATGAGCTCTTCATTCCTCATTATGAAGGAACACGGAGATATAATGAAGTCTAGTGCAAGACACATTCCATGTTCA